GCAATAGTTATGAAGAAGGAGACTTTGGAGCGTGTCTGTGTCTGAATGTAAATACACATGGAGAAAGAAACTTCTCTCCTTTTGCTGATGTAATCCCTGTTTTGGTGGGGCCATTGGCTTTTGCTGGGGCTTTGATGTGCTGCCTTAGTGTCAGCTGATACTAAGCTATAACTACAGATTTTTGGTGGTGTGTGGGGTGGAAATATCCACCTGAAGGAGTTGCTGTCTGCATCCCTTTAACGTTCAGTGAGCTTCATCTGCCGTAGCCTGTTAATCCTTTACAGCCACGGTTGTCTTCCCCAGCGTTCAGGGTCTTCTCGGAGACATGCGCCTTCCTGGGTCCTCACCAGTGAATCAAAGAGAGTCAAACGGATAACCTTCTCTTTTGTGTGGGACACATTCTGCTGAGCTTTCTTTCCTAAATACCAGAAGTCTAGGCCAGAGTAGTTGTCTCCAGTCCATGTCCAAGTCAACGGAGACCAGCAGGCATTTCTGGGCAGGGAGGTGTCCTGCTTCTGTTAGGTGCTTGCGTTGTGGTGGCCTGGCTCACTGGGTGGAGGTGCCTGTTTTTTTCTTTGCTGAGTGTGCAGGGAGGCCAGAAAGCTGACTTGGCTCATGTGCCTGATGTTTTGTCTTATGTCTTTTAGCACTTGCAAGCCTCAGTATGTTCTTCAAGCACAAAAAGAGGTGCCTGGTGCATACAGAACCCTTGCCTGCCCTTCTAGGAGTTGAATATGTCTTACATATCAAAATATTCTTGTAATGCTTAGGATGGAGATTAGTGCTCCACACGCACAACAAAATGCCGCAGACTCGCTGATGTGGATATTATTCAGATGGTTTTGTGAGAAAACTGGCTTTCTGCTTTGTGCCTGCACTTGCTGTGCTCCTGGAAAAAAAACCCCTAACACTTTAACCAGAATTATTTTAATCCCCAAAATCAATTTGGGTTTCTGAACCTGTAGATTACAAAGAGAATGTTGGTGTTGATCTTTCACGCTTGGCAAAGCAGAAGAGATTCGCTGTATGTTAATGTCTAATTTAGGGTTTCCTCTTATGTTTGGGTGTCAGTGGGTGTATAGAGAAATCAGTGGAAGAACAGGTATGCCGCACACTTGCGTGAAGCAAAATGGTGAGAGGTTGAAAGATTTATTGAGGGCTGTTATGGAGTAATGCTGGAGGGACAATGTCTAGGCCTTTCTAGTACACCCCCTCTGCAATATTAAAGGCAGCCGGTGAGATCACCTTCGTATATAAAAAAACCAAAAAACTCGAGTTGCTTGGTTTTGGTTTTTCTTCCATTTGATTAGTGGGCTACCCTGATGGCTCAGCTGTGGTTAATGAGGCCTTATGGGAAACAAATTTTTGATCAAAATCTAGAGTTTAGGAATATTCAATTTGAGGCCGAACACAGCTTGGAAGACCCTTGTTTTCCAGGGACTCGTTAGTGTTGGCCTCCTAGCAGTCTCCAGCTAGAGGTTCTCCAAATTTTGCTAGCTACCATGGAAAATCCAACAGTTCTGGTGTTACTGGAGATTCCAGGTTATGTAGAAGAGCCAGGACTGAGGTTTTAGTTGGGGGCTGTTTAGAGACATGTGCTGTTCGTGCAGGTGTGCTGTCAACCTTGGAGTTAGCAGTAGAGCAGTGATTCCCGGCATTACACCCACGCTGGCGAACATGGGCAGTATCTGAGCAGGCTGCAGCGAAGGAAGGTGGTAGGAGTTTACTCCTCCTTCCACTGCAAAGTGTTTACTCTGCTCATTCGGGAGGCATGAGGAGGGTGACGAAAGTCCTGGGCACCATGCGTGTGTTTGCAGAGGAGCCTGCGTGGACTTGCTACGCGCTTGAGGGGACCTGAGCACGGCGGGCTTGTGCCAGCAGTGGTGAGAGCTGTCAGGCTGGGAGGCTGGCTGTGTGCTTTAGTGAACCAAGCCACCACAGGTCAGAGTTCACCTTTTCTCTATGCCCTTGGCCTTGCGGCTCAGCCAGGAAAATGGCATGCATCTGTGTGTGGACTGGGTGGCTTGTGTGATCAGTGTGCAGTGTTTTCGGCAAAAATCCTGTCCGTTGTGTAAAATGTGAGGAGCAGTATTGAACTGCCTTGTCTTAAATCCAGAGCACTGGTGGCTGGCTTTTCTTTATAAAAACCTTTATAAAAGGTTTAATACAGTTTGGGCCAGCATGTTGTATGTGGCCATGCACAAAAATGAGCTGTAGCATCCCAATATACTTATCAAACCTGGTCCTCTCCTGGTCTGGAGATGCTGGTCTATGAGGAGAAAGGAAGGCCTTGAGTGGTTTGAGAAAGTGGCCTGCAGAGCACGTGTTCGTGGGGAAGGGGCTGTGGAGCAGTGTCCTTTTACAAGCCTTGAACTCATCCAGCAAGCTGAACCCTGCCAGCCTGCAGAGAAAACCTGCATGGTCAGCACAAACCTTGGGGGCTCTTCTGGTCCTGCTCACCCCAGCGCTGATGCTCTAGCATCACTTTTCCTACCACCTGGTGCTGGCAGGAGCCCAGGGCTGGCACAGCTGGCCAGGTCAGTGACACGGCGATCCGCAGGGCATCACCTGGGGCAGATCTGGCACTGCAAAGCCATGTGAACATCGGTCAAGCTGTGATGCTAATAATGACTGGTATCAGAGAGCAGTGCTTTCATTATTTGACCAAATGGCTGTGTTTGAGGAGCTACTTTTTTTTTTTTTTTTTTTTTTGTATGGGACGAAGAATGCAATTGTAGTATTTCTTGTATTTCACAGGTTCCAAGGGAGAGGAGATCTTCCACAGCTAAACCAGAGGTAGAACATCCTGACCAAGACCATAGCAAAAGGTATTAGTTTTTATTATTGCATGTCTGCTTGTCTCCCTTCCCTCCTAGACCACCAAAGCTGCTGAAGGAGAGTAACTTGCTGCACTGCAGCATTGTGCTGGAAGAGAAGAATTGTTTGCTTTTACGCTGTGCCCCAAATTCCTGTGCAGCCCCAGGAACAGGATGGAGATTGGACCATTATGTGGAGAGCTAGGGCCCAAACTGCTTCTTATTGCCGTCCATCTGCTTTCTATGTACTGGTGTCATACAGCTGGCGTGGCAAAAGCTGCTCTCTTTGACACTAGGCACAGCCTGGTAGCACAGGCACCCCTTCCCAATGGTGCAGAGGTGGCTGGTGACCCTTTTATTTTTGCATGCAGTTGCCTTAGTTGCTCACTGCTGATTTTGTTCTCAGGCACCAGCAGCATTGCTTCTTTGTGCATGGGCTGCTGGGAAGGACTTCAAAGTGCTTGTGATTTAGTTTTGGTTTTGTATTGTTTGTGGGCTTCTTTTGTATCCTCTGGAGTTCTGTTCTTTCTTCCTCTTCCTGCCCTCCCTTTCTTGTGCCTCCCAAGCAGAAGAAGATACTGATTAAGTAAATATTACAGATGGGAGGTTCATTCAAGACAGGCTTCCACTCCTACCATCCTTTTCCTTTGGATAGACTAGAATGCTTTAAGGACTCGAGGTGAGGTTTTGTGGTCTGGCTGAGCCGACTGAATGACTCATTTTTGAGAAGAGTGGTCTGGTTCCCAGCCATGTGTTCCCACTGCTCCCCTTGTACGAGCTCTGGACTTCCACTGACCCATAACCTAGCAGGAAAACAAGAAGTGGCTAGTTTTCTGCCATTGGAACAGGCCGAACTGGCTCATCAGGGGGAGAGGAGCATCAGAATTGGTGCAGGGGAGAGGGGAGGACCACATTGTGGGGAGGGAGAAAGTGAGGGCAGGCTGACTTGGTGGCTACTAGCTGTGAGGTCAGCTCAGCCCTAGATCTCAGTGTTGTCCTGGCACAAAAGAGCATGGTGGGGTGGAGAGTGTGAATTTATGCAAACCACTCCAGGGACTCTCAGTGTGGATTTTCTTGGGGGTTTGTGCATGAAAGGGGGGTGTAATTTCCCAGTTAGTGCTTCCTGGGTGGTGTGCAGTCCTAGGGCAGAGGAGCAGCAGCCTTGCTATTAGTCCTCCTCCCTCTGCCAAAGAGCAGCTTCATGGAGCCTGCGTGTGCCGATGCGTGGTGGAAAGGGCTTTGAAGCACTTAGTTTTGGACTGCTGTTTTCTAAGCAGTGAGGATCTGGGCTGTGAACCCTCACCCTTTGATCCAGGGTAATTCATCTCCAAGGTGGGGTTGTTAGCAGTGGGTGAGTTAGTTTTTGAATGAGTTTCTCAGCTTTTCAGGTTAAGATTGAGCTGTTCCGCCCAAGCGGGAGAGTTGGTATCAGCTGTCCTTGTCTAAAAGGCTGATGAGAAATATTTCTAGCTCTTGTTTAATGAGAAAATGAGCTGTATGATTTATGCATTATTTTTTTTCTTTGTCCTTCAAAGGAACAACATCCCAAATGTGACAGAACAGTCGCTCATTTCTGCTGGAGAAAACAGAGTCCAGGTTCTGAAAAATGTGCCTTTCAATATTGTCCTTCCACACACGCCCCAGATGGGCATGGACAAGAGAGGCCACCTTACAACCCCTGACACGACGGTCACTGTTTCGATTGCCACGATGCCCACCCATTCCATCAAAACGGAGACACAGCCCCATGGCTTTGCAGTGGGCATCCCACCGAGCGTCTACCACCCCGAGCCCCCCGAGCGGGTGGTGGTCTTCGACAGGAACCTCAATCCTGACCAGTTTAGTTCTAACACCCAGCCTCAAAACTCCCAGAGGCGAACGCCAGACTCCACCTTCTCAGAGACTTTCAAGGAGGGCGTGCAAGAGGTACCAAGAGAGGTAGTTGCTGTATGTGTGTGTGTGTGTGTGTCTTGATCTGGATGGAGGGATCCAGTTCCGCCTTTAATTGTTCCTTTTATGTGAGCCAGAAATCTACAGTGAATTAGGAATAAGACTTTCTCAGAGAGGTACATAAGTATAACTTGGTAAATAAAATCTACACAACATGAAATCATGAAAAGCAAATGACTAATCTTACCAGTGACAGAGCCTTTGGTTTGCAGTGTGGAAATAGTTATCTCAATCCACAGCACCAGGCTAGGTTTTGCAAGAGTTCAGCACCCTGCTGTGCCTTTGCAAGTACTGAGGTGAAGTGACTGTGTCTGAAAGCTTCCTTACTGCCAGTTTCTAGGCGTGGTGTGTGTCAGTGGAAAACAGTCGGTTTATTTAGGGGCCTTGAGTGAGAGTTCAACTTGGATGAAAATCCGTGGGTTTTGTTTTATAGTATCAACTGAAAACAACAGAGTAACTGTGTTTTGATTTTTAAGCCAGGCCTCAAGGAACTGTGTAGCTATGCCCTTTCTTTGAGATTTGGGAAAGCTTTAAAATGTTGCCCTAAGCTGATTCAGAAGGCTTGTGAAATGTTGTGCTTAGTTGACACCCAAAAGTTTTAGATTAAATCCCTGCTCAAGTGTCCTGTTTGCACAGACCAAAAATCAATTGTTATCTGATGATCAGTTTGCCTGCCAGAAGTTCTGTGGTAAGGGTATCTGCTTAATCTTGACCTTTCTTGTTACTGCTCTGTTAATTGTTGTTTTGTTTTGTGTCTACACCAGGTTTTCTTTCCTACTGAACTCAATCTCCGGATGGCCAACATGAATTCAGAAGATTATGTTTTTGACAGCATTTCTGGGTAATGCTTTAAGGCCTCTCTTTGCCTATATCCTGTTCTCTTATAGTTGTCCGTGAGCAAGCAGTACAGTTCATGCCCTTCTGTGCCAAGCCTCTGTCAGGCACTGGGGGGGCTGTGGATCTCAAAATCACAAAAGTACCTGCTCATTTTAATTTTACAGTTGAAAATCCTGCCTCTATCTTTAAGGAAAACTACTTTAGGGAAAACTACCTGCAGAGTTGGAAATAAAACCTCATTTCAGTTGCTGTCCTTGTAACAAATCCCTGTCTTATGGGAAGATGCGGTGCTGTCTGTCAGCTCTGTAGTGGTCTCGGAGGTGACTTCCAGCTGCGTCCATCTCCCTGGCCTGCTTGCCTTGCTCTCGCCATGCTGGAAATCTACAGCAGAAATAGGAAGCATGAAACTCATCTTAACTCCAAGGGAGGGGAATAAACTAGTTGTTCGGTTAGCTGCAGTTGGCCAAGAGGGAAGAGGAGAAGACTTTGGCCACTGAATGGTTTATTAGCTTGTGAATTTTAATTTAATTGCTAATAGATACTTTTCTGTTCGGTGGGAGCAGCTTGCTCTCTCAGCCTGAGTAGGGAGCTTCCAGTCTTGCCTGCTGATGTGACTTGGGATCTAGGTTGCCAAGAACTTCTCTTAAATGTTAATTCGTGAAGGAAATGGTTGAAAAAGGGGCTCATCCTGTTTTCCAACTTCCTTGCCTGTTGATGGCTTAGTGAGTCAATGACTTTGGAATTTCTCCAAATTAAATGTAGAACATTTAATTGGCTTTCCAGGAAAATGCCCTAGCAATCACTGCCCTCTTCACTCCGTAGGAATAACTTTGAATACACTCTGGAAGCCTCCAAGTCCCTACGACAGAAGCCTGGAGACAGCACAATGACATACCTGAATAAAGGTCAATTTTACCCAATCACGCTGAAAGAAGTCAGCAGCAGTGAAGGAATCCATCACCCCATCAGTAAAGTCCGAGTGAGTGGCAGCTCTTGTGGTTTTGTGGGAAAGAGGGTGTGTATAATGGTAGCCTTAAACTCTCCCAAAGTCCAGTAATCTGAACCAGAGCATCAGCACTAAGACCAGCTTACCCACTCTCTTACGTCAATGTTCGTTCCTTTGCTGTACACCTACTTCCAGACCAACCCATCCTGGCTCAGTCTGTTAAGAAGTGGTGTCAGCACTTGTGTAAAGGTGATGCAACACCTGGAATGAGATCCTTGAACTCCAGTTAGGAGAGCAGTTCTGCTCATCTCTGTTGATGACCCAGAAAGCGCTGCTCTCTGCCTTCCTGCTTGGCAGCGGTGTGCCAGGTATATTGTGGTGCGTCAAGTTGGAAAGCCTAAAGCAGAAAACCTGATACCAGGGAAAACTTCCAAAACAAATGTACTGTGTGGGCTTTTCTCTTTCGTGTGCTTGTTTGGGTTTTTGTTTTTGTTTGTTTGTTTCTTTTTAATCTTACCCCATCCCCCCCTACTTTCAGAGTGTCATCATGGTTGTGTTTGCTGAAGACAAAACAAGAGAAGATCAGCTCAGGCACTGGAAATACTGGCACTCAAGACAGCATACTGCTAAACAAAGATGTATTGATATAGGTAAGGAACACTTCCATTGCTAATGTCAAACTCCAAAACTAATTCCTTGGCAAGGTTTGGTTTTTCTGCTAAGCTTTGTTATTTTAAGGAGCCTTTGGATCATGGTCTCTTCTGTCTGTAGCTTTGCTGAAAGCTGAGAGAGAGCTGTTGATTGCTTACAGCTAGTGCTGTAGTTTGTAGGCCTCATTTAAGAGGCTGATTTTTGGAGGGCTTGGTTGGTGAGCAGGCTGCGTTTAGGGTTTTACATTGGGAGATCTAACACTCCCCTCCAAACTACAGTTGCTTTGGCATGTCCTGATACTTGTAGCTAAATCACAGCTTATAGACTCTGTGTCTGTCCTAAATACTCTGTTTCTTCAAAGAACAAGATCCTTTTAGAAATACCTTGACTCTAATGATCCTCCTTCCCACAACTTTGCTCACAACTGGTGTTTGGTGCATGTTAAAAAAAGAAAACACTGCAGATTTCCACTTGCCTCCAGACAAGGCTGGGGCTGGCTGGCTTCCAGCCTTCTCTGCCTGAAAGCTGGGTTGTACTCCTAGTCCTTTCCTTCTGTGAATAAAAGCAGGGATTAATCACTTGGCACTTAAAGCAGACGCACATGCAAATCTTTGTTTGTTATTGAAGGAGTTTTATTGAGAGCTTTTGCTCTTGCCATACAGGGTAGAGTTTCCCGCACATAGCAGCCTGTGGTGCAGGACGTGTGATATTTGGGATGTCTGCCTTTCTCATTGGGGTTTGTAGTTTGGAATTTCTGCTGAGTCCCTCATTTTCCTTCTTCCTCCTGTTTGTTGATTGGGTAATTTTTTTGTTTTCCTATGAGAACCATTTCCAGCCTTTTTAATGATCCATTCTTAAGTACATTCTTTGCCCCCAAGGGGTTGCTGAGGAGTTGCAGTTTCTGGCTGCTTTGTGTGATTAAGGACTCCGGGTGGTATCCCTCTTCCTCTCTCTCATGCATCCTCCCTTCTAACAGCTGACTACAAGGAGAGCTTCAACACCATCAGTAACATTGAGGAGATCGCGTACAATGCTATATCCTTCACTTGGGACATCAACGAGGAAGCAAAGGTGTGTGACCATGATTATATCTCCTGTCGTTTTAGCAGATTCGGGGACTGGGGGAGGGGAAGGGTGTGTGGCCTACCTGGTGATTAGCATGTAACAAGTTTGTTTATGCTCTTAAATTAGGCAAAACCTTCTGGCTATTTCTTAAGAGGGTTTGCATGTGCAACCCTGGAGAGCTTTGCCATGGCTTTAAGGTTCTTGGCAGAACTGCCTACCTGACAGACAAGTACTGACAAAAGGAAGCGCTGAGCGTTTCCAGAGCAGATGAAGTGGTGCAGGAGGTGTGATGGAGCGCAGCTGGTATTGGCAGGGAGCACAGTCTCTTGGAGGATCCTGGTAGGAGGTGGGGGACGGCTACTGGGAGATTTGGGGCTGTGGCAATGGCCTTGCCTTTAGCAGAAGAGGAAGTAGCTGCTGTCATTGAGCTCCCAAAGCATGCATTGCTGAAACCACTCATCCCAACACCCAGTGACCCATTTCAAGTTAGAGCAGCCTCTTGGTGAACTCTGGTTTGATCTTTTTTCAAACTGTGGGCACTATGGTAGGTGTGTAAGAACAGGCAGCTTCTCTAGCTAGTAGCTAACTGCAGCTATGTGAGCCACTCCAGCTTTTGAAAAAGGCCCATGTATCTTCTGGGTGCCCGGTCAGGGAGTGGAGTGATCTCCATTCCAAAGGCATTTACCACCAATTTGTTGCTGGAGTCAAAGTGCAGGAGTTCTCTTTGGAGAGTTTTGTTACTGCCTGGGTTTTCATTAAAAGTCGGGAATGGTTTCCTTCGATGTTTGGAGGCTGGCTGTTCTCTTGCTAGTATGTCATGTGGTAGTCACCACTGTCATGGGGAAAACTACTGGTGGCTGCAGAGTGCCATGTCTCAGGAAAGCCCTAGCTTGGGGTACATAGGGGCTCTCAGCAGATAATGCAGAGGTCCTTCTCTGTAGCTGTGTATGCCACTGTGCTCTGCAGGAGGCACAAGGGATGGTGTCACAGCACAGAGCTCGCTGTCACCATGAGCTTTTCTCTGGGAAGCACAAAAGCTTTGGAGAAAAGAGAGAGGGAGGGGCTGTGTGGGGGATACTGTTGGGTTTTGGCTCTGTGGGAGAAGTTTGAGATGCTTGGTAGGCAGCAGCAAGGAGCTGTGTGTGCTGCTGATGAGAGAAATTTCTGCCTTGTGGCATGCGTGACATCACTTTTGAGGCTGGTGTTGGATGCCAGGCTTCCCTGTTCACCAGATTTGGCCTCATTTGGGTTGAGAGGGATGGCAGGGAGGGTCTTACCTGCTGGAGGATGCTAAAAGGTTGATGTGGTTTTTGAAGCATGAAGCGCTTTGCTGTGTGAGCAAACAGATGAAGCTTCAGAAGGGCTGTCAAATGACACAGGAGGTATTCCCAAAATGGTATCCTGCTGTCATAGCCAGTCTAACCTTGTCCCGTTCAAGGAACTCTGGTAATCTGTGTCTGTGAGGTGATCAAGGGCTTAGGATTTGCATGCAAGTATGGATCATGGAGACACAGTGATGATTTCAGGTTCCGAAGGAGTCAGAAGCACTTGGCAGCTCTGCAGCTGCCTCTCTGCTGGCTGAGCTGTTCTACAGCAGTGGGGACTGACTGCTAACCCAGGAGCAGCGCTTAGAGCTGGCGCTGAGAGCCCCGTGTTTGCCCCAAGGAAGGCTGTCCCTTCCCACCAGGTGACAAAGCCCAGCCCTGTGAAGCAGGTGGTTATTGCCCAGGTGATCTGCAGACCCCTGAATGAGTAGTTTCAGTCCATAGTGAAATTGTCAATAGCAGCTTGAAGAGGTTCAGCTCAGGGCTGAACTTCATGGGATGAGGTGGTGCAGGAAGGTATGACCTACACTGGTTTTGCAGCTCCGTACCTCCGGATTCACAGTCTTGGTGTGTGAGATCCATATACTTTGAGTATCGATTTGTATGAACCTGCAGACAGGACTGTTGATACCAAGAGTGCAAGCCTTGGCTCCTGGGATCAGAAACATTAAGACAAAAATACTCTGGACTTCAGTGTTCAAAGAATGGGCATTTTTAGCAAGTGCCCTGTGTGTTTAAGCATCTGTTTTACTTTATTTTCCCCTGAGTGGATGCATTTTGTCAATGGTTGGATTTCTCACCAGTAGAGGTGCAGTTCTTTCTCAACTCCTGTGATCTTATCGGGAGATGCCTGAGCCAGTTTCAACAATTTTTATTGCATGGTTCATTTACCTTGCATGCTCTCTATTTTCCTTCCCCTTCACCCCCTCCTCAACAATAGTCTTGAAGTATATGAAGAGAGCAGGCAATAGAGAGCTGAGTTTCTGATGCTACAGAAAGTCTTCCATAGTAATAAATATAGTGTCATATGTTTAATAACAGCAGCAGTGTTGAATAGATGATATGTTTAACCAGCCAGCAGGCTGTGATTATTAGAAGCTTGCTTCCTGAGCCCTGAAGTTACCTGGACCAGACCCGAATGATTCTTTTGGGGTTGCTGCTTCTCCCATTTCCCTCTTGCTCCCAGTTTGCTGTGGGAATGATTTGGTCCTGTGCAGCAGTGTCGAACAGGAGGTCACGAGGTTCTGTGTCTGGGGTTTTTGATGTAGTTAATAATTTAGGTACCCAGGGCTTTGTGTGTGTATTTGATTTAAGGGAGAAACAGCATTTTATCACAAGAAGTTGCCCCTAGCAGCCCTGGGACCAGGTACTTGCCCTTCTCGTGCTAGCCCTCATTGTGAGGATGTACAGGAATATCAGATCTCTGCCACTTTCCGTGCAGGAGGGTGTTACCTGCCTGGGAGACTGCTTTGCCAGTCCTCCTTGAGGCACTTCGGGATTTTGTAAAATAAAGCTTTCTGCTGAAGAAACAGTTTTCAGGCAATATGAATCGTGCTCACTCTGTAACAAGAAAATTGTGTGTATTTGCAGCTGCAGAGTTGGGGGATGGAAAGGATGTTTGAGGTGCCTTCAGCAACCAGTAGCATTGTGCTGGGAGAGCTGAGGGCTACTCTGGGGCTTGGGATTCCAGATGCAGCAAGCAGGTCTGGCTCTGCGTGGATGAAGTTGTCACACAGCTGGCTGCGTTGGTGTGCTGTTTGTGAGCCCACGTGTGCAGAAACCAGGAGTGTTTCATGAACGGCAGATGCTTCCTCCTCTGGGACCAGGCAGTGTCGGTGGGATTTGGAGCAAATGCTGAGTGCTGCTTTCTGGCAGCTCCTCTCTGCCCTCTTCTGTTGCTTTGGGACATCACAGGAGCTGCTAGAAGTGGCTACGCTGTGGAGTAGTGGTGGGCTCAGTATTCTCTTGGGCATGTTCAAGCTGGAAAAGGACCCAGGATCCAAAACCTCCTTGCTCTGAGACAGTGAAGGAAGCTGAGGGTGGGGTGGAACAGACTGCCCTGCAGGGCTGCTCCTGGGGCTGGAAGGAGAGCGAGGATGGGGTAGAAGGATTGACAGGAGACACTGCGGAATGGGGAAGTGGTGATTCTAAGGGGCTTCCAGGCATCTGTTAGAGGTGTGACAGATCAGGGGAGGGGAAGAATTGATGAGGAGGCAATCATGCTTTGTGAGGAGAAAGAGGGAGATGATTAACTGGGAAATTAGTTGATGTGAGTTGTTGAATTGGATATTTAGGAAAGCCAGCACACCTTCTCAGTCAGGAGCCATCCTGGCTGGGTGGAAGTACGGTCTGATGAGTCTGACAAAGATGTGTAGCTGATATTCACTTGCATGCAATGGGTAATGCTGGAGTTACCCTGAGGCTTGTGGAGACTTCAAACAGTTTCCCACCCTGTCCCGGACGATGTCTGCTGTGTTGGGCCAGACAGTCAAGGTGGGGTTCTTCTCTTGTGAACAGATTTTAGATGTCTGAACAAAAGCTCGTCATCTTTTGCTTCTATGACTTTATTAGGAACAGGGTGTTAAGAGCTGGGATGCAGCTTTCTCTGGAGATGCCTGCCTCTCCTTGTTGTCTGAGCAGGCTTGGCCGTCTTTAAAATCAGGGGATTTTAAAGGTAGCAAAGAGGAATCCTGTCCCTGCTGCCCTTTTTGTGTGTTTGATCTCTGTATGTCAACTGGGAGAAGCATTCATAGGTTCAGGTCGTGAGGCTGGAAGCCACCTCTACCCAGGTCTGCACAGGATGCCTGGTTCTCCTTCTCCTGGTTGATAACTGTTAGAGGTCTTTTAGTGAAAATTGCCTCCGTGCATGGTTAAATGCACATCCCTTTCTAGAGTTTCCTGCTACTCTGTTCATAATGTTGGCCATTGTCCTGTTGCCTCTGTTGTGTTACCCGTTAGGCTGTGAAGCAAATTCTCTATCCCTTAACTCTGGCCTGGGGACATGGCCTGCTCTCAGGTCAGTGGCAGTTGAACAATCTGGACAGATTGGTTTCTCCAGACTTAACTGGCTTTGCTGGATCCTGCTTTGCTCAAATCTTATCTGAGCTCCTGCCTGGTAGAGCAGGAGCGTTGGGGCCTCATGTCTGAACAGGGTGAGTTGTTGTCTGCACAGTGATCGCATGAGCCTCTTTGCCCCATTTTTGTAGTCCTAATAGTGCAAGGACCCTGCTGTCGCGCTGAGGCACCCCTTCCATGCTTGCCAATGGGGCCCTTCTGAAATGTAGTGTTGCTTCCAGCAGCTCCCAGAGAAGGGCCCCCGTGGAGGTCTTCTGTCTGGCTTGCTTTAGGCTAGATGGTGGGACTGTAGCCAAAAATGATGTCACTGCACATTAAGGGCTCTATTGTCCTCCCACTCCTTCCCTCAAAAAAAAAAAAAAAAGGTATTGTAAGCCAGATGCTCTGTGTGAAAAGACCCTTTCTACTAAAATGGGATACATGGTGAGGGTGTAACAGGGGTATTTAGGGTTGGAGAACACTGTGGTAGAGCTTTTTGCTGTCTTTCCACCAAAGGGAAGGTGCTTTTAGGTGATATCCTGAATGACAGCAATAAAACAGTGCTGCTTTTTTTTGTCCAAGAAAGGCAGAACAGTCCTGTGTTAAGATCATTTACGGATAATTTGG